ATCCGTTTCTATTGAGATTCTGCATTAAGGAAACAAAAGAAAGGCACATCTGTTAAGCATTGATGTTTTTGTCTTTTTAACTGACATTTCAATAAAATCTTTTGGTTTGTGAAGATTAAACCTGTTGCCAGGCATCAGTACGATCTTAAAATCTAGTTGGACATTCCAGACTACAAAGCATTCAAACCTAAAAAGTTTCACATGCTGTTGTTCAGCAATAGTTGAACAGGCTTCTACAGCCCAATTTGTCCCTTCACCATTTAATGTCATATTTCTGGATGTTTTCCATCAGATCTTTTGGGGAAAATGAAATTATGTCACCATGGCATGTCTGGTACCAATCAATTGTTAACCACTGCCCATAAGGAGGAAGAATTGATTATTTTGTTTCCCTGTGATCAAATGCTTATTCCTTGCATGGACTTCTTTGGTTGATGTTGCCCTGTTAAACACACCATTAGCGCTAAAATAATTTCCACTCTACATCAAATCAACTTTGAGTTTTACTAATAAAGAACAATTAAAGGATGCTAAAGAACTAAACATTCTGTAGAGGAGGAAATAGCTGACACACCACTAAAACGGCATCAAAGTGATGCACTACAGTAAATAGAAGGGAGAGCAGATGGGATGGCTGTGAAGTGTCTTTGTAGCTTGACAGAAATCTATCGAACCCCATCCCTCCTGAGGGCATTAGTGGCGGAAAGCTAACATCAGGAAAGACAGAGTAATAAAAGTGGTGATCTGTTTGTTTTAGAGCAACCCAATTAGTATCCAAGGGAGTCTGCTCAGAGCGCTGAAAGGAACAGGCAGTAGATACATGCTCATTGGAGTTTCCATTAAAACTGGTCGGGCAAAGGGCTCGGCCATTACTATGGATAACCACATTTAACTTTGCTCTGTAAACAGGATGTGCCATTAGTGAAGACGTTCAGCAGGATCTTTTCTCCTCTCTCAGATTGGAACTGTATCATATTTAGATGTTCTTCCATACTTTCCAGATACTTTAGATGTATTGTCCCACATCATGAAACAAACCTCGCCCATGCAGCTGCCCACACAGCAGAGGTTTATATTTCTGCATGCTTCAGGGTCATTTCCAGGACATTTTCTTAAGCTACATTTTCTCAGACTGTGCTCCAAGAAGATATGATTATATTCATTGAAAAATGACTAAGTAAGATTACACAATGTATATATATCTCCCTGAGTTTTACACACGAGATAGTCTGTTAATATCAAATGATGCTGTTAGGTTCAAAGTATTACATGCAAATATGTCAAAAACGTATTTAACCCTTAATAGGGGACTGCCCCATATTTAATTCTAAACTATGCGTGATTATGAAGCTCTGGTTCATGTAAAATGTTTACAAAATCATTTTACACATAAAAAAAAATGGAAAGATTCATCATGTTTGTAGAATGGAATGCAATGTCTGGCCAAGAAGTGTCCCTTATGTATTTTTTCGTTGAGTTGGCAACCCTGCTGGTACATTGAGACTGAGCGCAGATTTCTGCCAGCGCAGCCGGGAGATCACCACAGCGGTCAAGGCAACTTCCTCTTTGGAATTGAAAGTCAAGCCATCCCTACACTAAGAATTACAGTCATAGTGCCTGAGATTATGTTTCAAAATAAGTGCAAATAAGTGCAGTCATTGTTATGTATGTCTATATTTTTTTCCTTTTTATCTACATATTTGAATTTAGTTAGAGGTATGGTGGATGGAGGATGTTCTTTTTCTGGGTGGATCATCAAAATAAGTGGTCCTCCTAATTGTCAATCATTCTGGTGATATGTTTACGTAAGGCCATCCTACGTGCTCATCCCCATCTTTACTTACTGGTGGCGAGTCTGACATAGTGGAAAAATTACACATCTTCCTTCGGAAAATAAGCTTGTATGAGCGATGCAAACAGCAACCTTTAAACAGAGCATGCACGAGGAGAAATGGGCTGGTGCACGCTCTCGCACACATTAATTTTAAGTGGAGAGGGTGGGTCTTTTCACAAATTAACGAGGATCCTCCACTATACCATTAGGTTAATTTCTTTCACTTTGTATTTTTCCCCCCACTTGTGACAGTAACTATATTAAAATATAAGTCTCATTCACTATTATTAGATTCATTAAATACGACTATAATTTTTTTTTGTCTAAATGTCTACTTTTACTATCAGATTACAGATGAGTTCATCCATGTGAATCATCAAAACCCAACTAAATCACATGGCATTTCAGAGTTAAAGCCCCTCATAACCTGCAGTTTTTGTCTTTTGTGCCAAGTTACTGTCACTGTTACAAAGCCGTCTGATTTCATTAAATGCTTTCAATTCAGAATGACAACTGAATGTCTCCAGATCTAAGTGCTGTCAATATTGCTGCTAAGCCATTTCTTTTATTTGAATGCTTCCATTTCAGAATGACAGTAGAAACCCATCAAGACATGACTCACAAAGTTTCATCCACATCTGATGTAGAATTTCAAAATTAAAGCTCCACAGAAATCAAGACACAGAATCACTTAATGCCCAAGTTGGCATAAATTGCAGTAATGCTGTAAAACATTTTGCTCTCTTTGAATACTTTCATTTCTGAAGAAAAATAAAACACCTCCAGATGTGACCATCTAATGTGGAGTTTCATAATGAAAGCCCCTAAAAATCTCTAAACAGAGTCACTTTTACCTAAGTTGCTATCAATATTGGTGCTAAACCATTTATTTTCAGTGAAAGCTTCTATTTTAGATGTGACTCATTAAGTTCTGAGAATTAAAGCTCCACAAAATCCCTACACCTAATCTCTTTGCCCTAATATGCTGTGACTTCTTAACAAAAATAATAATAAAAAAAAACAACAAAAAGAAAACACAACTGCTCACCTGTGGACCCAGTCTTTTCATCATATGCAGGAAAAAGTCATCCAGCTCTTTGCCCTCAATGTAGCCATTATCTACAACAATAAGAACACAAATCTAAATGTTGGGACTGAAAAAGGCAAGCTGTTTAAGGTTTTTCTTGGCTAGTGTTCTGCATTTTTAAAGTTTGTTTCAGCACACCTGATTTCCACTGATGGCATATTAACTGGCTTAACTAAAAATCATCTGAATTAAGTGTGCTGAAACAGGGAAACAAGCATGATTAGTGGTTTTTGGAAGGTTTGGTATAGATAAAACCATGTTAAATTTTTATTATTTTGCTGGTAAATATTTTGTAAAATTTAAAATGGTTTTATCTATAACAAACCTTCCAAAAAACATTAATCATGCTTTAAACCTAATGGCCAAAAATGTCTGCGCAGAATAATCTAAAAAAATCTGAATAAAACTGCTTCACATTAAAGTTTAACAACAAATGAAAAAAATAACATCAAATATTCTCACCATCTGCATCAAAGTGTTGCCAGATTTCCAGGAAACCAGCTGCATCCAATTTGTCAAAAGTACTGTCCATCTTACTGAAAGGGCAGCTTCAAACTTTTAAATGTAGAAACAAGAATGTAGAGATCAACTGTGCTGCACTCCTCAGCCAGCCTACTTGTCATATGCTCTTTCCTACAAACTAGAAGACAGACAGAACCACACCTCCTCTTTCTGCATGTGGATGAGCGTGAAATAAAGCATATCTGCCACCTAGTGGATGCCCTATGACACTGCAATGCAAACCTTTTGTGACCATCACAAGAAAAGCAAAAACATGTAAAATTATTTTAATGCTCTTAATAGCTTTATAAAAAAAATCTAAAACAATTATTACTAAAAACATGCAGTCAGAATAAGTAATTGATTTGGTGAAATAAATCAGGAAACATGCAATTGGTACCAGTTATTCCCAGTTAAAATGTTTTAATTTCTAAAACAATCAAAATGACAGAAAATATGAAAATCAACAAAGAACATCAGCCATCATTTGATTTATTTTATTTCAAATAAGTTACAAACAGACCCTTATAATAGAATAGTGGCGACTTAGTAACAAAACAACAGAGGGTTTCATGTTTTTACAAAGGTGTGTGAATATGTTACATGTGCTTATGTTACACATATATAAAACACACGGGCCTAAAAGTAAGAAATGACATATATACAGAAGAGCTAACAGCGACATCATGCAGTCACACACAGACGCACACGTCTAGTACTGGCATGTTTTTACACTGAACAGCAACAGAAAAAAAAGATGCTCATGTTGCAGATTAATTCAAACCATATTTTCCGTCTCCATCACATTAACAAAAGCTCAGTTGCAACAGGGAAAAAAAAAAGTAAGATGTGCAACTGAAAACAGCCACATGTGAATGTATTCCATCTAAACATCATGCAATGTAGAAGCATCCTGTCATTTTTTGCTTCTTTATCCTCTCAGAGACATAAAAAGGATGATTATGCACTTAGATACATCCAGGACAGATTGACTATATACAGCAAAAAAAGTGTTATCTGTAAACCATGATGAGTGAGAAGCTCCCACTCCAACACCATAGGACATCGAGAGACTCCACATTGTAGGGAAGGTGCACCAGTCAAAGCTGCATGTAAAAATCCAATATTTCATGTGCAGTTTTTGTTGGGTTTTCCACAGAAATAGTAAGGAAAACAAAAAATCCATCAAGAAATTCCCTAATATTTGTAGTATATTTATAAACAGAACCCATATTAACTTCTCATTTAAAATCTAAGAACAGCTTTAATCTCACCTGTTCAAATTTAACATTTTAAACTTGTCAAGAACGGATTAATCAAAGCAAAACGTACCAAATAAATGTTAATACCTTCTTCTACTTTATAAATCAAGCTTAGATTTAATTATTCAAACTTAACCAAGAAAATGAGACAAAAATCACAGTTTTTTCTCCTTGTTCTGTCATTAATCTAGAGAGTGAAACAATAAATAAGTTTTGTTTTTTATTCAGCAAAACAAAGATAAAGCAAAGTATCAGGGAATGAATCAAGCTAAATGTTTTCTGAAAGTAAGCATGTTTTTTTTAGATATTGGAATAAAGCATGTCTACTCAACTCTTTTCTATGATACCATTTCTTGTTAATGAATGAAAATCTGAATCCCGATTACAAACCAACCGTGTTCACATTGTTGACCTGTGAAATGACAATACAGCTGTGATCAGGAAATACGCCCTTATAATTCCTCGATGTGTTTTTACTCACAACAATGATGCACTCTTTTCTTTTATAGTGTGTAACTTTAGTCACAGAAAGCTGAGAAAGATCTACATAGACAATGTAGAACAGAATCAAAACATACAACCCAGTTTTTTATCGCATGGAAATATATCAGATAACAATCAAATATGAAGTAGTAAACTGTTTTCCGTTTTGACTGACTCTTTCAGTCATTTATATCATCTGTTTTAATAGAAATTAGTTTTCAGAACAAGTCTAGCACTACAGTGATGTGAAACAGGAAATTCTTGGAAAAAAACAAAACAAAAACAAGAACAGAACAATGAGCCATGTTGGCATTAGACAGTTAATATACACCCACCCACAGTTCGCTTTCACTCCACAGTGCATTATTGTTTCTTCTTTTTAAACAAGCAGAATGATTGCCGCCTTATGCTGTGCGTAATTTTTTTTTTTAGACATTTCTCCAAACGTCTAATTAAAGACGTAAAATGAGGCAGAATGAAGACTGGAGTTCCTTCAGTGTTTTGCTTTCACACAAAGAATTCAAACCTTTTTCTTCTACTGCAATTCTTTTTTATATAACAGTTCAGTTTTACAGTAGGTTCCTTGCTGTCACTGGACATGTTCAGACATCACTTAATGCTTTTTAATCCTTGTTTTTTTTTTTTTAAGTATTACCCTAATAACATGCTTCAGATGGGCACCACTTCACTCTATTGCACTTGAAATTTATTCCCAAAGCTCCTCTCCCAAGATAAATAAAAAGGAAAAATATTTTCCACAGTGTTTGATATAAAAGAGCAGTTATCGAACAGTGCTAAAGCCATACTGATTTTTAATAAAGTCAAAGTGTATCACAGTCCTCTTAAAGCAATAACACATCATATGGCCCCTCCAGCTTCCACGCAGAGAGTAAGTCTGGATTACTTAGAGCACATTTACTCTGCAGTAGTTCCACTTATAACCAAAACCAAAAAACACCTCTGATTTGTGTCTCTCAGCTGAAACCTGCTTGTTCCTGTAAATAAAAGAAATAAATTAAATTGCATAACGAAACCAGCTAGTTATCAGCTGGCACATATTGAAAACAGAATTTTATAAAATCCATCAAAAATATATCAGAAAGAGTCCTTGTTTTGCTAATATGATTTGGCTTCAAGTACAGTGATCTTGGTATGGCGATTACTGTGTTTGGTCCCTGGGTGTCAAGCTACGGCAGCAGGCAGTAACAAAAATACGTTTGTTAGTTGGAACTGCAAAGCTTTATTTTTAGAGATTCCAAACCTTGACTAGGTTGGATAATTTATTATTGATGGTTTGAAGGAGTTAGATAAAACCGTAATGGTTCATCTACTCAGACCCTGAAGAGTTAGTTAAAAAAGCGAGGATGAGTAAGTCTGGCAGGCATCAGATTGAATCCAGGAAGCTCTCGAGAGTTTAAGCACAGTTTTGGTTTTGATTTGTAGGCAAGCTGCATCTAGAGATGTAAAATCTGTCATGCATTGCAAGCTTTGTTATTCTGCAAGAGCAGAACTCATGTCTACCAAATCTGATGTAGAATCTATTGTCAAACAGGAGCTGTGGGTTTGTTTCGGACTAAAAATGAATCACATGAGTTTTTGTTTTTTCCCCCTTAGAGTTAGCTCTATCTAAGGGAGCCTGAGACTTAGTGAGTGGCTCATATTAAAATAAAGTCCTTGTCTGCCTCTTCCCCCGAGTCGGAGGACTTCTTGCTGGTTGACTTGCTCTTTTCTGAGTTTGGACATCTGTCTTTGTTTTTGAAGGAACCTGGATCTTCAGAATCAGTGCAATGAGGGCTGGATCTCTGAGCATCTGATGCTGACTTCCCTGAAATCGAGAGAAAAACACCTTTATTGGAACAAGTGGAAAATAAAAGATTAATAATACCAAATGAAGCAGAAAATTCATTTCAGAATAAAATTAGCCCACCAACCTAAACCAATATGACCAGCGAAAATAAAAAGGGAAAAGAGAAACTATATTTATACTATAATAACTATATTTATGTGCACCAATAACAAGTTTTACTCAACAAATCCCGAAAACACTGTGAACCAAGGTTAACTTTTCTTTTTCTCTTGAGCGTCGTTTCTGAAGCAGGGACAGTTTGGAGCTCCATCATTATTAAAAAGAAAACATTATTATTGTGAATAATAAGGTTCCAGAGTTTAAAAATGTCAGTCTGACACTATTATCATAAATTCTTAATATTTTCTATTTTTGCACTAATAGAAAGTCAGAAGCTTTATAGCATTGATGCTTGAAAAAAACAAAACAACAACAGATCTTTAAGACAGACATCAGAGAAGATGCAATAAAAGAAAATGGTCCATTTTAGGTTGCATAACAACATAAATCTGACTGTTTTAGTAGGTAACACTATGACCCGGATCCACCTGTTACATCTGGTACTTGCACACTGAACAACAGTGATATAAGACCTTTAAGAGACTTATCAGATGATCCCGGTTAAAGCTGTTCAGAAGAGGCCGACTTTACTTTTAGCTACTTAGATGGTGTGTGTGTGTGTTTTAAGAGGAATAACACCATGAGGGTTTAGATGATTCAAAAGCTTGAGCCGATTTTGTGACTCACCGTCCTGAGTGGTTTTGTTGGTGTTCTGCAGATTGGACCCCTTGTCTTTCTCTGACAGCGCCCTCTTTAGGGTGGAGGGGAGAACTTTAGGAGATACATGGTCGCTGCTGGGAGAAGCTGAGCTCTCATCTATGTGAAAGATTAACACAATAAAAGGGCCCATTGTTAAGTTTGGATATTTTTTAAATGACATAAAGGGACCAAGAAAGATAACGACTGCAGCCTGTGGACCCTGACAGCAGCCTACCTATGCTCCTGCTGCTGGTCCTTGGTTTCTGGGGGATGGTGGGACGAGCAGCTAGAGCTGGCTTTGCTCCTTGTGGCACAGGTGGTTTAGGGTTTGCTGGCCCTGCTGGGGAGGTTGAGGAGGCTCTGAGTCGAGCGACTGGTTCAGGCTTAGTTTCACCACGAGCTGAGGTCTTCTCTGAAGGAGCAGTGTTGGGTTTGTTCATAGAACAACTAATAGACTTGCTCCCTGTGGCTGTGGATTGGGGCTTGGCTGCAAACACAAAAAAAAAGAAAAAAAACAGCAAAAGACCTCAATTTAAAATATGCTGTGTGTGTGTGTGGCCATGTCTTTGTTACCTGGTGGGGACAATTTCCCAGAAATAAGCATTTTGGGACTTAAAAGTACTTGTGTGGACTAATGACTGGTCCCCATGAAGAGAACTTCTGTTTTTGGGGTGGGGGTAAGGTTTAGAACTAAACTGTGAATTAATTCGATATGTGTTGGTAATGGTTAGGGTTTGGGCAGAGGGTCCAGGTTAGGCCATAGAAATGAGTGGAAAACAAATGGAAGGTCCCCACAAGGATAGTGTGACACAACATGTGGTTGAATGTGTGTGGGGTGCGTGTTTGTGGGGGTGTGTTTGCGTGTATGAGAAACCTAAAAGGAGAATCTACTGTAAAAAACCCTTCTTAAAGGTACATTGGAGAATTTTCCTGAATTTTTGAAAAGACCCGCCCTCTCCACTTAAAAAAAAAAATGTACATGCATAATCCTGTACCTGCTCCAGAGGGAACGCCTATTAAACACGTGCGAGAGCATGCACCAGTCCATTTCTCCTCGTGCACGCTCTGTTTAAAAGTTGCTGTTTGCATCACTCATACAAGCCTACTTTCCAAACGATTTGCAATTTTTCCACTATGTCAGACTCACCACCGATAAGTGAAAATGGGGACGAGCATGTAGGACGGCCGTACGTAAACATATCACCAGAATGACTGACAATTAGGAGGACCACTTATTTTGGTGATCCATCCGGAAATAAAAGATTGTCCACTATACCTGTAAGTCTTACAGTAGTGTCTAAGCTGGATGAGGTCTGGGTGGACAGGGTCTTTCTGACATGAGGATCTGCTCTAATCTAAATGGTTCCATTATAGCTTTATAGTAGGTCCATTTTTAGGGTTGCTGACACTGCTGGAATGTAACTGCTGCCATCTTGTCTGTTTATTCTAATCATGTTCTGATGCCTTCAAACAACAGCTGGATGACCTATTGTTAAACCCCTGTAAATAGTCAGCTTACTTACTGTATGAGGGCAAATTGTTGAAGTTGTTTTAAGGGGTATCTAAGTAAAGAAGACTAAATACAAACACTTAAATATTTGAAATTGAAAAATGTTTCAAAACATCTATGCTTTTCCTTCTACACCACAGTTACACCTTACTTTGTTTTAATTAGGACAAGTTTATTTGTAATGTACTTAGTATTTAAAAAAATCTCAAAAAGCTGCACAATTGAACTGAAAGTGCTGAAACTAAAAATAAAAAACTAAAAGATCATAAAAAGTTGTGTTTAGTACAGTGGATGAAACACCTTAAGGTGGTTTGAAATAGCTCAAAAGCTATGGATATAGTCTAATGTTGCTTCAAAAGCAGTTGTAATAAATCTGTGGAAGGATTGTCAACCCTTTGTTTTTCTGCATACTGTAACTTACCTGCTGCATTGCTGTCTGGGCGGTCGGGGCTGGAAGACTGAAAGACATAACATGGGATCAGTGCAAGCTCCAAACAGATGTAGGTATTTATCCTTAATGCAAAACTTTAAAAAAAAAAAAAAAGAAAAAAAGAAATAAACTGCTACTTCACTAGGAGGAAATTCCTCAGTTGAAATATGTGTTTGGTGCATCACCGTGGAAAAATAGCAGAGTTCTGACTCGTAAAGAAGCTTAGCTCACTCTCTCTATGACCTGCATTCCGAAAACACTGATCCACCATTACACCTGAGAATTTATAAAACAACAAAAACACATATGCTGCCACCTCTTACAGCTCAATAAATCCAGGGATCCACTTTTTGAGATTAACTATGAATTAAGCAAAGGAAGAAGGATGCTGCCCCCAGGAGTTGGAAGCAGTTTTATAGAACCACATTTTTTCTTTTACTCCTGATGAAACTTTATAGACATTTTCACACAAACAAAGGAATTCAAGGCCATCAGCCAGTGCATCACATTAGAGCAAATAAAATATGATAAAAAATGATAGAACATCTATAGAAGATTATTGTCATGATTAAATTTTATTATTTCTGTGTGAAACTGTTTTCACACCTTTTAGTCCTTGTGTTTATTGCTCAGTTTAGATATGTCAACTTCCAAGGTAATGTGTATATGTGCATGAATGGATGGATTCCTGACCTGTTTGCACACTCACCTTGTATGCTCTCCTCTCATGTTTAGCCTTCATCTCTGCCAGGAGGCCACTTCCAATCATCTGCACCCCAGTGTACCTCTTCCCACCCTGAGGACTTCCCCTTCCATCTGAACCCTCCCAGGGTTCATCTATAGAGTCTGGAGTCCTCAGTTCCTCCGAGCGATCTGAGCTGCTGCTGTAGTCTGTGGGCTGTGAACGGGTGGAGGAGTCTCTGCGTTGGGACAGGAGCCGTTAGGAGGTGTTAAAACTGAGATGCAGGTCAGGTGGGATCAGGAGTTACCTATACCTAGACTTTGGTTCAGGCGGTGGGCTCCTGATGGCCACCTTTGGGGAAGAGGGCTCTTCTGGGAGGGCAGATGCTGCAGCAGAGGCTGAAGATGCACCACAGGATGTGGGAGCTGCTTGGCTTTTCTCCGACTTATCTGATTTATCAGACTTATCAGATTTGGAGGATCTCTTGATGAGATTCAGAAATCCTCCTTTTTTCTTCTTCTCTCCGTCTTGAGATTCTGCACTCTTTAAGGAGCGTCTTAACAAAAGGCAGTAAAAAAAAAAAGAACAAGATAAAATGCAAACATTTATTAGGATATGTTTTATTTCATTAATGTCAAGGATCTTTCTCACTTTGAATTCATCTTGGTAACTTTCTTAGAGAAAAATTCATCCACTCCCTCATCGACCCTGCCCATGAGGCCATTCTGCTCATTGCCATCTTGAGATGGAGTGTTATTAGTTTGCTGTGGGAAGAAAAAAAGAATAAAAATATCCATCGATAATGAAACACAATAAAAAACATGTTATTTTAAGCACTTGCGAGGTCCCTTATTTATTAAGAAAGACTTCATAATATTTCTAACTTCAGGTTTGACTTGATTTAAACTGGTTAAAGTGGAGCACTCCTTCACTTACAGCCACTTTACTAGAATGCATCTTTTTGTTCCGTCGAGGGCGTAGTTTGGTGAAGTGTTGCAGCTTTTTCTCTTCCTCTGACGGCAGCTCTGCGATGCCTCCGGATGGACGCTGCTCCGCTTTGGGCGCCCCCGCAGATGGAGTGGGAGGAGTTTGGGATGAAGTGGAGGCGTCCTCCGTGTAGACGGGAACATCCTCCAGAGCTTTGTCAAGATCAAACTCCATCTCTGCATGTTTGTAGTTTGAGATGTTTATGAAACATGTAAGTATCCATCATGCTGTTAACTTTAGTGTCACACAAAAAAATGTGGAACTAAAACACGCTGCAGCTACTTGTAAATACAGAAACACACCTGGTCAGACGTTTATGCAAACTCATATTACATCAACTTAATTTATCTCAGGTCTTTCTTAATTTGTTTAATCTCTTCTCCTAAGGCTAATCTTCTGAGAGGTGAAGTTTACACATACAAGCTCAAATACAAACATAATCCGCTTACAGTAATATTTTGCTGAAAGCTGCACTTTAAGCACACGTGTTTTATAGCAATCAAACTTCTAGCTAACCAACCTTTGTTCATAAAGTTCTTTTTTATTAGTTTCCCACCATAAACCTACAAGTTTTAAGCAAAGTCCAGAAATGTTATGGTTCAATTTAGGCTGAGATTTGGACCAGTCTGTAAGATTAAGGCTAATCTGCTCTATCCATTCTAAAACAAGTTTGGTTTTATGTTTTGGATAAATCTCTTTTTTTCGTTTGTCCCACATGGGCAGGGCAAATAGCAACTAGAGAACGTTCTGGTCAAATTAGGCAGAGACAGAGTTATCTGGCCAAAATAACAACACGCATTTTTGTAGTAAGAAGTCTCAAAACTGCTATTAAACATAGAACTAGGTACAATATGGTATAGGGCTGTTTTATTGCAGGTTGTACAGATTATGTTACACAAAGTTAATAGATGATAAAGTTTAAGGATTACCTCTTAATTAATTCATTTAACAGTAAACTAACAGCTATAGGATTACAAGTTTGGGCCTTTTTGGTATTTCAACACAACAGTAATAACCGCAAACACACGTCAAATATATTTTTTTGGTTTGTTTTTAATTAATAAGGCAGCCTGATACAGAGTCCACAGAATATCTCCAACTTTTATGTACAATTCACCAAATTGTTAAGCAATACCCTGCAGAGGACAAACCTCTGAAAAATAAAACCAGTGGTTGGTCGTAGCGCTTTAGGATTTTCCAAAAAAAATCTAAACTGTGATTATTTTTAACCAGTATTGCGATTGCTATTTTATTTTAAATTTTCTTTGCATTAACCGAATCTTGTAGATGTTTCACCCCAGGCTTTCAGTTTTTGAAAGCTTACTTGCCCAGAGTCCATTGTTGCAGGACTTTACTGTAACTTTTGTGCAAAAAACTCTTTACTTCTACTTCCATGCTAGATATTCAACTAGGCATTCAACAACATGATGAGTACATAAAGTTCACACCAGCACCCTTTCTAAGGGTATAAAAGAAAAATCCTATAATTTCTTTAAAGGTAAACTAGGAATGATCAGAAACAACTAACCAAAGGCACGAGACACAGGACGCAGCATTCTGCTGTGGATGCTTTTCCTTTTGGATTTGGGAGTCATCTGAAAAGACCAGAAACTATTAGACATGTTTCTCATCTGGGTAAAAAAACACAAATCATGATTTCAAACATTCCTAAAATGTATTTGGAAACGTTTGGATGTGCAACAAAAAAATAGGCAAGAAAAGTTGTCTTTCGCTAATATGTCCAGAGGCAAGTCAGTGTGAGAATAGAAGGACTTTCTGTTCAGGTCGGTCAGGATTACAGAACTGCCATACCAAAGTGTAACTGCCAAATCTGTTAGTGACTCAAAGAAAGATATAAGTGGAGTTGCTTATAAAGTGTTGCTAAATCACAGTGTTTAAATCATATAAAAATATTTTTAAGTGTAATCCGTTGTGTTTCTCATTTGGATTCTGAAAAAACATTAAATTCAATTTCAATTTAGTTTATTTATATAGCGCCAATTGACAACACATGTCATCTCAAGGCACTTTAAAGTTCACCAGATCATACAGTCATATTTGATTTGAAGTTTTTCACATCCTGATAATGAAAAGCAGTGAACATCATGAAGAGGAGCAGGGTGTTATTGCAAAAAAAAAAAACTAATGTTAGCATCTATAAAATCAATTATTTAAGAACATGTTAAGAAATTATAATCTTTTTGACAAATTAAAGTGCATTTGTCCCAATTTTTAAGCAGATGAAAAAGTGAGCAAGCATATCAAAGGGAGGTTAAAAATAAATACAGTGAGACAAAAATGTGGAGAGAAAGAAAAAGTAAGGAGAGACAGTCCAGAGTTACTTACGCTGGTGCAGCACAGAGTCTCCAAGGAGCAAAGGTAGAAAGGAGGAACAGAGGAGAAGTTTGAAGAGAAAATAACACACTGCAAGACTAAAGGAGGAAAAAGGAAAACCTCATGTAGAAAGAGAAGAGGAAAGAGGGGGGAAGAGGATCGAGAGCAGGTGTGAAAATACCTCCCTGTGATAAAGAGAATAAAAGATGGAGGATGACAGGAAACTGTGCTGCTTAGGCTACAGCAGACTGCACTGGGACTTCTCTTCTAAGCGATTAAAATACCAACAAAGCAAATGAAATAAAAATTAATATCCCAAGATTAAAGCTAGATCATCATCTTATAAATATTCTATAAAAAAAAAGGGGGCAAAAAAAGTTATGTTTATTGCCTTGTGTTCATATATTAGTTTGTCTGTTTGGTAAAATTATATACAGTAAAAATCTGTGGGCAAATGTCCATGTATCAATAACATTAAGCCATTAGTTCATTAATGTATATTAAAAATGAAAAGCTTTATAAGAAGTTGTGTATTTAAAAAATTTTTTAAAAACTCATGCAAATGATTAAAAAAAATTCTTAGTAAAAAAACCTTATCAGGTTAGTAATAAATAAAGAAAACTAGGAATTCAATAGCACTATTATGGAGAAATACCAATACTGACATTTTAAAAGTCATGCACTTAGTAAAAAAACATTCTTCTTTTTTAATTACATTTGCTATTTTTTAGCCTTAAAGCCAGAACTTAAGATGTGCTTCTGTCTTCAAAGGTATAAACAGGCAGAGAGAAATCGGCATATTTCTATTTTTATTTTTTTTTCCAATGGAACCAAAGGTACAAAGTCAAAAAATAAAAAAGTACTGGACTTAATAAAATTCTCTATAGGACCTGAGATCTGGATGTTAAAGTAGTCTACAGCCAATAATCCGTCAGAATTCTGGAGTGTTGGGGTGGGGCTTGGATTTCAAGTGCAATGCCACTGTGTGGCGCCCGGGGAGAAATGTTGTGTTAAGGGTTTTTGCTCAGGAACCCAGAGTGGAGGCTGTGGGGGATCAAACTGGGTACTTGCAACCTTCCCAGAGAACAAGCACACTGCTCTAACCACTAGGCCAACACTCCCTCCAGTGTGTTACTGAAAGGAAAGCCAAAGAGAAGACCTACCATACATGTTTCCAAATCCTCAAGCCTTTCTGCTTCCAGTATCTCAGCAGATGCTCGTTTGGGAATCTTCTCCTCAGGCACGTCCAGATCCACAGACTCCTGCTGCACCAAGCGGCGACCTCGTCGTACCAGATGGTCCGCCTGATGAGACAAGTGAGGAGGAAAACAAGGAGGAGGCAGCAGAAAGGGTTTGGTTGTGGTGAACTTAGATATTAGAAGTAAAACGTCAGGCTTTAACTTCGAAATCCAAAGTTTTTGACGCTAACATGGATCTGTTTGATTTTATGTAGACTCACTAATCTTATCTTACCAGCGTTAGCTGTGATGTGGACAGAGCCTCCAAGATCTCATCAACAATGCGATCAGACAGAAAGGAAGCCAGACTTAGTTTCACCTCACTGAGGGATTTTAGGAAGGCATGCAAAGATGAAAAGAGGAAATAAAGAGTTAATAACTAAGATAAAATAGTTTAAAGAACAGTAATTAATGAATTCTTCAAAACTAGTAAAGATAAGAGTTACTGCGCTATTAACAGCACAGACCTGATCTTATTGATGATATCCACCCCTGATTGCTCCAGGAGGATCTGAGTGACAAAACTTTTAGGGACAACCATCTTGGCTGAGCTCTGCTTCATCAACTCAGGACGAAGATTTCCCCTCTTCATCACGTGAGGACAGAGGGACTCCGCATGATCCATCATGGACTCCAAAAGGGTCTGAACAATAAAGACGAGTTAATTAGGGAGACGCCATTGGCTAAATAAACATGTAGGTGAACCAAACATTTACACATTATAGGCTAAGGCTACAGCTGTGGTCTTTCTACCCCATCACTGAGGGGGGAAGTTTATTTTTTACCCAGATCTTCAGCCCAAATGTCTCACCTGCAGTTGCTGATCCATGACTATAGTCACCTCTCCAGCCATGGACTCCAGTTTCTCCTGGATGGGGCCTGCTGAGGAACTGTTCAGCTCTTCTCTGGATGATGAACCAAGGTGGTAGAGGTTACGGAGCAGCTAAACACACAGAGAAAGAAATATTCAGAACAAACATGGTGAATACATCTGATAACTATTGTCAAGAATAAAAAGTAAGTTTATATTTCCTGAACATGGAAGTGAAACTGACCCTAAATACATTGTTTTTTAAATAAAATGTTAATTTTTGCCACTAAAGCTCAACTTCACTGGACCCTTTCTTACAGTTTTAGAGTTCCTGGCATCTTTGATGAGATTTTCGGCTGTTCTGACATCTTCTAAGATGGCGTCAGCCTCAGAGTTCTTCAAAGAGTTCAGGTGGTCCTGGACTTTGACGCAAATCCGGTCTATCATCTGGAAAACAAGACAGTAATCTTTGCCTTTTTTTGCATGTGATGCATTTGATCAAAATATCCCCTTTAAAGATTAATCCTTCACAAACGACAAGCAAAGCATCAACAGGAAACAGGAACTGATAAACTTCACTAACCTGCTGGGTGGTTGTCGTGACGATGCCCTGCTGAAGGCGATAAGCCTGCTCCTGGAGGTACTTTCTAGTTTCATGGTTCCTGTACAAAAAAGTTTCAATCTGGAAAGTAACAAAAAAAAACAAAAACGTGTATAGTTAATACACTTTAGTGTTGCAGAGTTTAAAAGGGTTTGTGTTTTGTTGGTTTTTCAGAATCTTTTTTTTTTTAACAAGGTAGAAAAAAAAGTTATTTCTATGATCCTTTGTGTACCTTTAGCAAGGCATCCTCAGTTTTCTCAGGGCTGGCTTTCAGGGCCTGGGAGGCATCGATGATGGGGATGGGCATGAAGCGAATGGTGAAGTTTCTAAAGCACAAACAGACAGCATTGTTCCAGAGCGGGTTTGCATTACAGAGAAAAGCTAAATATACATAGAGATAAATGGTATGGAGAGAAAAATGTTGCATAAAAAGGATTATTAATGTTTGGAGTTACAGTTAATTAAAGAGACCAGAATCAACTGTCAATCAAGATTTATCACAACCATATTTTATAATGCCAGAACTCCTAGTCTATTCAATGCACCTTATTTGTATTTAAAACACTTAAGTGAAAAGCTATGACTCTTTGATAGATAGCTCTACAGCAGCGGGGGTTTAAAATGAACCTGCAAAAACAATAAATTAGAAGGAGAAATATAATAAATTCAATTAAAGAAAATGAAGATATAGGAACAAGGAAGGAGAATATGGACAGCAGTCCAGTCTAATTTTGTAAAGACACATTTTTCATACTGTGCAGTACTTTGGGAAGAAACATGGAACAGAAGAGAATAAAGAACATTGAATATTCGAAGAAAAGACACATAACAGCACTGCAGTACAGAATCAAAGTCAAGGACCACAAAGACAAAAACCATCATTCTTTGAATAATTCAACCTAACAACTCAACGGGGAAATGGGGAGACTAGCTGCTGGAAGAACTAGAGCTGAAACGAGGAAAGAGGTGGATCTTCAGATATTTTCCTCTGAAATAAGGATGGCACCGCAGCATATTCGACCAATAGACAGAAGATCCAAAAGACAAGATAGAGTAACTGATACTAAATGTGTTTTTTTTTTCCCCTAATTGGTTTTTCACTTTTCCCTCAAAGGGCCTGTTTTCTTATCCCAAGGGTCTCTGTTTTTCAATAAGTCTGCTTCCCCCCTTCTTTCCTTTATCCTCTATTATCACACATGAAAACAAAAAAAAAACGCTTTAAAGCATTTAATTTTTAATTCAAAAGTAGTAAACCATGGGAATATTTTACCCTTAGATAAGGATGCCTTTTCAAAATAATGGATTTCTCTCATTATATTTAGGGACAGGCTTGGTAGAGGAAAGTGAGAGATATTAATAGAGGTGTATCGCCGTCAAGTTCAAAACTAAAGCCGACTACCAGTTAAAGCTCGGATTTTAACATCAGCTTCAGTCACAATATACATTTTTGTTGCTGGAACAATGAGCAAACCTGTCAGTGGAATAAGCAGAACAGTCATATTTATATGTGCATGGTGCTTCAAACAGTCCTACTTACTTCTCCAGAGCGGCTGCAACGTCCTGAAGACCCTGAGGGCTGGTGTTGTTCTTATCCCAGATTACAGTCCTATGCAAAAAACACAGACACCCTTATAATTACAGTGACTAATGGACCCTTCCATCTGAATGTGTGTGTATTATCTAAAATTCATGCTGCATTAACATATATTTTTTATCCACTTTTATTTTGTAATCTGTAATGCAATGCATGGATTTAAGTGTTTCATATTGTTTCGTTATTAACTTGTCTTACTGTTATGCTTATCGAGATACCCTTAAACAATTAAATATTTTTTTATGTGACCTATATTTACTATAAAAAAAAGCCAGATAATAATTCATTCCATGTGAGATGCTTTACTGACACCATGTCGATCACCTGAGCTTTGAGTTGATTTGCAAAGCCTTCGCCAGCATCTTAGCTCCCATGTCCCCCATGGCGTTACCGCTGATGTCCAGCCTGGTGAGGGTGGAGTTGCTGCCGAGGGCGTTGAGAACAATGGTCAGGTCACTTTTCAGTCTGGAGTCTGCTAAAGACAGAGAGGTGAGGGGCTGAGGGGGGGGAGGAAGGAATGATAGAGGAAGGAAAACAGGTTTAACACCTTTACCAATAATATCTCTTGGTATCTTTTTTTGCTGTTTTTGGTCATTTATAGAGAATGAAAAAACAAAAATCCTGTCTCTGTTTCACTGTTCATTTGCACAGCCAGAATACCAGCTATTAAATATTCACCAACCCCTACATGAATAATGATGCACCTGCATTCTTGCTGTACAAGAACAGAAGGACCATCAATCCATCATGGGTGGGGGCGGAGAAAGGAGGGCAGACACAGAGCTAAAGCTTGTTACAGCTCCCATTACACAGTGAGATAAGACAAAGCAGATGGAGCAGAGGGACTGTACAAAATCAGGCTAACAACCAGAATTAGCTCCTAAACGCTCCGTAGAGACAAATTCATCAAACAAGACAGTTTCTTGACATGATAAGTTTCACTTTCTGTCCTGTATATCGATCTGTGTACCAAGCTGCATTGGTGATGCTCACCGACTCCTCTTCTTGAATCATGTGTACCAGACCATCCAGGACAGGAGCAAGGTTTCTAATACAAGCAAAACAGAAAAGACAGGAGAACTATATTCATTTATCAGGGCAAGAAGATTCATATTCATCACTGTTGAACTTTTTTTTGACACTTTGTCTTGTTAGAACCCCAAACTTAAATAAAAAGTCATCTTTATAAATAAAAATTTGAGAAGTTTGCCCGCCCTCGCCCTTGTTAGTTCATGTTCTTATTTTAGTTACTAACAAAAATATTTTTTTAATAATTTAAGTTGTGATTAACAGACATTGATAACTTTAATAGAAAATAATAGTTGCAGCTTTGCACTCCTTGAACTTCAGACAGAAAATAAGTTAGATAAAATGTAATCATCAAAATCATTTTGACTAGTTATTCCTTCCCACCTACAAAAGAATAAACACAGCAGCCTCATGCTTACTAAACCCAGCAGACTTACTTTGACTTGATATTGTTGAAGTTCTTTCCCAAAGACAAATGCTTGATTGAGCGGTTCTTAGCCAACCAGGAAAGGAGAGTTGATAGCTCCGAATCCAGGCCTAAACACGGAGACAGTCAAGATTCCTACATACTTATGTTGCTTTTGTGTTTTTTCTCCCCTATTTTTTTATTTTTATTTTTACATTTGACTGATTGCAGTGGAATAAAAGTAAAATGACTGAAATTGCACCATTATCGGAGAGATCCAGGCTGGAAATATTTGGGATTTCTGCAATACAACCTTCGAGGATCTGAGAACCGCCCGATCGAAGCTGGAAAAAAATAAAATAAAAAGAAACACAGAGGCTTCAGCAGTGATAAACACTTAAATCTATCTTGTGAAAACATTTGTAATGAATCAAACTATAATTCTATTTTTAACTTCAAATCTTCATTGCAGTAGAAATGTGACACAGAAATGAGATGGTGAGACTGCTAGGCTGGACAGGGATGGAAAAATGTAACCTCCTTCTGATCGGTTAAAACAGTAACCTAACGGCTACCATACGGGGTTAGCAAAAAACAAAGAAGATAAAGGTAAAAGTAAACAACTGTTTATAATATTGTTAAGGCAGCCTGTAGATCAGCCAAGCTGCAAGACGGCATGACTTTTGGTAATAGCCATGTTTGATCTCAGATTATAAATCACAGCATCATTTTAAATTTGTTTTAAAATAGAGAAAATATTATTTGTATTAACCTCTTTCATACAGTGCAGACAAAAACACATAATTTTGCCTTGATTGCAAAAAACCCCAAAAGAAATAGGGTTGTGAATTTCCTATATTACCGTTATTGAACAGAATTAAGAATAATATGCACTATTTATTCAAAAAATATTTTAAAAGGCCAAAAGAATTTTACTACAAATTTACAGAAGAACAAAGTCCTGGAAAAGAATTGCAAATGAAAGAGAGGAAAATGATATATTTCTTGAAAAGCAATAAGTGCATAGATACTTACACAGTGGCCAAGCTTAGAGAAGCATTGGGAGGAGAAAACAGCATGTCAAAGCCAAGCCAGCAATTACTAACAACGAAACCCACAGATGCTTAATGATCATTCTTGTATTCAAACACAAACCCATCAAACACACGGCCATGCATAACATGCTCAGCAGGGAGTTGCAGAAAGTCGGGAGGTTTTTCACATTGCGTTGCTCTGCTCAGACTGGCTTAGGGCGGCCTCTGCTGAACGGTTCATTAGAGTCTTTGAAGAAGCATCATTTCACCCTGAAGCTTCAGTCAGAGAAGGTTTTTAGAAGAGGACATCCTGTATAATTTGTATTCATCAGCCATCTCAGCCATTATGTTCTGCTGTATTCCATCTTTCCTCAAACAAGCGAGACAGGAGATGGCAGCTAGCCTTAGTGCATCTTGTGATGAAACTGTGCCTCCCCCTCCTCTTATTACCCGCTGTTTGCCAATGGGTCCATTATGGAGGCTCTTGGCACATCCACTGGTCCAAAATGGTTTTCAAGTGCATCTGAAAATTTCCACCGTATTGAAGGAGAAATACTTTCAAATTGATGTAAACTGCAAACAGTAAAAATTTAGCTGACAAAAGAAATTTAGACTGCAACTAAAAAGGAGTGAGAGGAGAGTGCAGACAGGCGGTCCAAACCTTTGATCCAGAAGTTAAGTATTCTGATTCACCCAATTAGGTTTAAATTAACCCCTAATAGGGTTTAATTAAGCTATTCGCAGAATCTTTGCAGTTTGTTTCTCTAATGGATGTAAAAAGCTGGTCATATAGATGTGTGAGTGCTCTCATTTTTTTTAGATTTATTCTCAACACAATGAGGGGATCTTTATACATTTTATTTTGCACATTGAGCAACTGAATAGTAAATTCACTCCCTCCTCTAGAACCCATGAATGGTTTTCTACTTAGTGTTAAAATGGTCCTACCTCACAGCAGCTGAGATCCAGAGAGACATCCTTCAAACTGGGATTACTGGCCAGGCCAAGTAGAAGTGCTCTTTACAAAGTTTACATGTAAAAAAAAAAAATAGATAAATAAATATATTGCAAGAGGATTATTTTAATAATACAAACATATTTCCGCACGACAATTAGTTTAGAAATAGGTAAAGAAGACTAAGAAAAAAGGTCAACAGAACCAACATCTCTGACATGTTTGCTGTTGATTTAAAACCTATGAGGTGATTCGTTCGGTGCAAAGCAGGTGAGTTTTAATTTATGAAAAAAGCAGATAATGCTCTACATCCTAGTTATAGTACATTCATCTAAAACCTGCTTAAAATGGATCAGTCAGGTGTGGAAAATCATAGACTACTCAGCTAAGTGTTATATAACCCCAAACCAGAAACATTTGGAAGAAAATGTTAAAAAATGAAAGAAACATCTGAAATAAAAAACGACCTCTAATAATTAGGAAATGACTACGTGATGTTTGTGAAAAAACAGAAAATATGTGACCTAGACTGTCCTTTTAATGTTTTATGGACCAGTCTGTCAGTAGACTGTGATGCAAAGGTGAATTAATCAGCATGATATGAGGATGTCTGTCCCCTCCCCTTTTATCTGCTGCCTCATATGTTAATATTTATGAGGGATAAATACAAAGTAAAATAGTATCACCTTTCTGAGGACCATGTCAAATGAAGTAGGTAACTCATAACTTTATAATGCAGCTTATAAACAACTGGAGAACAACACAAAGTGATGTGTGAAATCCCACCATAATCCATCTATAAATCATGCATTCAGTTCTTCACATCCCTACTTTGAAGTTATTTCTATCTAAAACAATGACTAATTTCTTATTGCTTTTTTAACGTCATTTTTTTCTCAGATGGGTAGATCTAAACTAAAGATTGACCAATTTATTGGCCAATTTAGATTGTTTATTTATGTATTTGGGTGGAATATTGCCACTAAGATGAATCTGTTAAGAAGTCTTTTTAAAGATCTAATGGCTGCTGATGCTGTAAATGTGGAAGGTGTCGTGTTTGAATGGGAAGAGCTGAGAAAACAAAATGAGAATCACTTTATGGGGGAATAAGGGCTAAGATGTAAGGGAATAAAGTTGAACTTGTTAACAGATTATTGTCTCACTTGAGAGCCTCTGGCGGCAGCTTGGTTCCTGACACGTTGATGGAGCTGAGAGACGCGGCGCAGCTGAAGAAATGTTTAAACGATGGAGGCACATCTTTGCCTTTCCTGCACAACCCCCCCAACCACCACAATAAAAAAAAAAAAAAAACAGGGAAAAAATGAAACCAGTGTGACCTTAAATTAATAGCAATGTCAATATTTTACTTTTAATGAAGAATAAATCAATTAAAACATTTCTCTGCTCTTCACAAGCAAAGCTATATGAATGGATTTATTATAACTGAGAGCTGTAAAATGGAGACCTATAGAAATATGAGATTAATTCCAGATTTACCCAATTTACCAAAACCAAGCAATAGTAGTTCTTTCCCTTGCTTAAATTAAGTAATTGCTCCTAATAACCAGCAGGTGGCACATGCTAACATTTGTGCTGCAATGTTTCAGTGCAAGAAATCAGGAATAAAGCAGAAAATGCTCAACAGGATGCTCTATTATTCAAGTTCATCCAGGGTTCAAAAACAAGTTTATTTGCAAAGTTTCAGGTTTTTATGACTCAAATTTATTTTTCTGCTACTTCTGTTTAAATGTGAGAAACTTGAATGAACTATACTTCATGATTTATTACTTCTGGACTTTTCAAAGAAGAACTGATTGATCCTAAACTAAATATTAATTCCATAAGGTGCAGTTATTGAGTTTGGAAAAATTACTTATTTGGTAATCAGCTGCAGCCCCAGTGTTGTCACTATGGACCAATAAGAGCAAACAGGCTCAGTAGATCTGAATCTGTGGTCCAAACAGGCAGTAAAACCACTATTTTTTTTTCATTGTGCATTTATACTTAAAGTGAAACACTAATGGGTAAATGTAAGAAAAACTAAAATAAAGTATGTCGGTTTAACTCAATTTTAAGTGAAAACCCTTATGAGGAAAGTACTGCTAGAACTAAAGAAAAGCGGGAGGAAAAAAAAGTCAAAGTATATACAAGTTTTCTTCTTAATAAATTATTTTATTCCATTTCTCATCCAGAGTTTTCAAATGATAAAGAAACTCTATTATTTCTCACACATTACTCTGCTTAGGGCTTTTCTTATCAAACATTTTGTTGAGATCAAGTCTCTCTGAGTCATTTTAGGATTAAAACTCTCACCAGAAAAAAATAATTTTAGTTTATTGGTCTCATGTTTTATTTATATTTATAGAGTATTTACTATACACACAAGATTTAGAAGATGCCTCTTTTCAGCTTTAGATTATAAAATGTTGATATTCATTTACCTGTGAGGAAAGATGCTTTTCGACACATTGAAAACAGAGAGGTGTTGAGCTGAGCCTCGCAGCAGAGCTGAGCAAACCTGGAACATAAAAAACAACCCACAAGTTACCACACTTCTTTCGGTAACTTTGTTTTTGCACTTTGACTGTCGGCGAGTCCTAAAACCAGCAGTTTTTATAGAAACAGATGATTCTGTTGTGTAGAATCGAATGTGTTCACATGTCCATCTGACTGTAAAAGGCTAAATATGATTAAGGGGTAAATCGATGAGTTTGACTGTCTGACAGCTGGCTACATCTCAAGCTAATCAATAATCCGTGGCTGGCTCTCAGACCCACGTCAATATACTGAATTACCAGCACGATTCAGAACCACTTCATCACCCAGTGACCTGCAACAGCAAATTGAATGGGTGTGCAGAATTAGATTAAACCTCCTGCAACAACTTTATTCATGGCTCGCACTTCATTTTCTGGTTAGCTACAACTCATACAGTACGTAACGATTCACAAAGAGCAATGCTGTAAATCTTAGGCATATGTACTGCTTGATGCATTGAAACATTTACTCAAAAAATATCAATTTCATTAGATTCTTATGCAGCCGCCTCACCTGATCCAGGGAGCAGTCTGTGTTGGAGAGGTCGAGTGTTGCCAGGCTGTTAGGTTGACCCAGGAAGTTGTAGAAATGCTGGAAAAAAAGTAAAAAAGAAAAAAAGAGTCCAAAAGATTTTAAATATCATGTCTGCTGGGAAAAAAAGCCATCCCGACCATTCAACTTAAAGGTATAGTAGAGGATGTTCTTTTTCTTGGTGGATCATCAAAATAAGGGGTCCTTCTAATTGTCAATTATTCTGGGGATATGTTTATGTAAGGCCGTCCTACATGCTCATCACCATTTTTATCTACGGGTGGTGAGTCTGACATAGAGGAAAATGTTCATTTTCTTTTGGAAAGTAAGTGTGTATGAGCGATGCAAACAGCAACTTTTAAACAGCATACACAAGGAGAAATAGGCTCGTACACGCTCTCACACGCATTCAACAGACATTCCCTCTCGGGAGCGGGTGTAGGGTTGTGCATGTGAATTTATTTTTCAAAGTGGAGAGCGCGGGTCTTTTCAAAAATTCATGAAAATCCTCTATTATACCTTTAATAATATAGGGTTGTTTTGTTCTGCTGGCAGAGTTATTAAGAATGGGTGGAGTTAAATACTGACAGTTTATGGAGTAACACCTGCTAGAGGCTTCAAAAGACTTGGTTCTGGCATTGGGGATCACCTTCCAGTACGGTGAAAAGTCTCAATTCAAATATTCTCAGTGGAGTTGCATAGTTAAACTCTAGGTCCAAACATTTTAAGAATATGTGGCTAAACTTTACATCTGCTGTTCTGCAGAAAAGCTTCAACTAACTAAGAATTGGTAAACATTTCCATCACCAGATTATTAAAGCTGGTATAGAAATAATCTACAATACTCTCAGCTGTGTCTGCAGGAAAAGTTGGTTCTGGAAAGAGCTGTCTCAGTTGGGGCTAAATACAACAGCATGCAGCTTTAAAATATTCACTACTTTTTCCATGACTATTACAATGACACGACCAGGTACTTCCCTCTGATCTGCTTTTTCAGAATCAAATCCGGCTGCATTTAAACAAGCTTTGTGTTCTTTTTATAACAGTGAAGCCAAAAGAAAAAAATGGGGTAAATAGAACAAAATTTTATTTAGCTTCTTCTTTTAAATAAAAACCTAATACTGTAACAAATACATAAAGTATTTAATTGACAGATAAATGTCAAGAGAAAGATCAGTTACAACTATTGCATTAAGGTCACATAGACCAACGTGTGTTTTCCACTTTTCCATCCACAGCTTTTATCTGCTGCTTATTCAGCTGTTCAGCCTTAGTGGGACATTCACCTGCATGTCATCTCCTCTGAGCATGTTCCCTGAGAGGTCCAGATGGACCAGGCTGCTGGCGATGGATGGGTTGGCACTCAGTGACTGGCAAAGGCTATTCACCCCTACAACACACAGACAGATATCAACAGCCCTGCAGTGTCAGCTTGATCACTATGCACAGATCACTTGATGTTTTTGACAGCATTTTGGAGGAAACCATCAGCGGGTGGAGCCTAGAGACGCGAGGACCTGAATATAAATAACTATCTATACAGTTTTGAAAATGCAAGCCAATGTCCTGCTACTGTATACTCAATTATTTCCACTCATTTTATGCCCTAAAAACTGCCAAAATGAAAATGGAAAGGGAACTGAGTTGTATGCCTGTAGATGCGGGTGTTTTAACCCCCCTGCAGTGCTTCGGCGGTTTATTTATTTGAGAGCTTAAAAGAGTGTTTCTAAAGCAGCCTGATGCTGACACACTGATCTGTCATGTCCATCACATGACTGACAGGCTGAACAGACACATTTACACCATGAAGTCCTGACAGACTTTTGGATCAGAAACCCAGTGACTGCTCTGATTAAGTTGGACAGAGAGATAAAGATTCAACTAGTATCAAAGAATAAACAGAATTATATTTTAGAAAGAGCCCTCAATCCTCTGGGGTGCAGATTATAGATTGGGCCCTTAGCTAGAAAATCAGGCGACAGTTTAAGGAGGACAAATCATTTCAAACCTACGGAGTGGAAATATGATAGCGCTATTGATCGTCTGAGAGCAGAACAGGCTGTCACTGAGTCCTGACAGGCTGAGCCTAGTACAGAGAGCAGGACTGGGAAACATGAGGAATGTAATCTGCAAGTCATGTTTGACAACAGATATCTACTTTTTCACATAAGATTTAGACTATTTCGAAACTTTCTGCTGAACGTTCACAGCATACTGACAGGCAGAGAGGACTTTCCATTATGTAGAAAGGAGTAGATCTTAATTAACTAAAGCAAGATGCTCTAGAGAGCACTCTTTCTGCAGATAGAGGTACATATCCCCAAACACCAATCATCTCCTTCCATGCACTTAGAATCAATCATTGCACTAACATGTCTTAGCTGCAGGTCAGCTGCAGATGCAATCACAGTGATGACAGAAATTAAATGTTTTTGGTAATAATGAAAATTAAAACAACAACAGTGAAACAGAAATCTATTTAAAGCCTTTTATCCTGTTTCCACAGCTGTGTGATGGCAAAAGCAAACATACCTTTAGGTGAAAGTGAGGTTTTTGAGAGGTTTAAATGCTTTAGCCCCAAATGAAGTTTGGCAAACTGGGAACCGAGTGAAGAAACACCTGCAGGAAGACGGAAGAAAACAAACAACCATATAATACCTGCAATTTGGTAAAGATCCTTCCGCTTTCATTGTTATTCAGATCCTGCATCAGTTCAAGCTGATTTTTACCTTTACACACCACAGTGGAAACATGAAAATGATCCCAATCATTTACAAACAATATTTTGAAAGGAAAAAGCCCGCTAAGCTTATGAGCTTCTCTTACAAATCCTAACAATTATGTATTGTATAAATATATATGGACTATCCCTACCCAGTTTGAACATACTACCTTTTCTCTGAAGAGTGTTTGCATTTCTATAAATGGCCTCAGAAACAGGGTGGCTTCTCCACCAACCGCTTAGTAAAGCTTAGACAAGGCAGGTATATGTTTAAGAAAATGTGAGTAGTTTAAATCATGAGTAAAAATCATGATTACAGAATATGCAAGTTCAATCTGATATCTTCTGCTAGTTTATGTTTGCAAAATTCACTGAAGGTGTTTGTTTTCACCATGGCCTACTATAGTATAAAAGAAGAGTTAAAAACACCCCTGCCAGAATTGATGAGAAATTCATTCTGACAATGAGCCTAAGTAAACTTCTAAAAACAAGTACAGGATATTATGTAGAGATTTTTTAAGAAACCCCTTATGCTACATTCAAACATAATGGGATTTCATCAGCAGAAGCAGCTGATTTAGATGCAAAGTCAATGGTTGACATGCGTCAAGGTGCATCAAAAGGTCCTGCAGCGCGTCTCAAGCAGCAGAAGCAGCGCATCTTGACGCATCAAAGCAGCACCTCATGAGCTACTGAGCTTCTGAGGTGGGCTTTTATTATCTTGGTGCTTGCAGTTTGTATTACGTACATGAAAAACGCTAACATCTACTTTCAGCCGCCACGGTATAGGAAAAAAAACCACAGGGAGGTGACCGAGCCTGAGGCAGCTGCTGCTGGGGATTCCCCAGTGACAGCACACTGCCGGTATATGGGGGTATGTGTGGCCCCGACAGCGAAAAAATATTTGAAGGCAGGACCGTAATCTTGATAAAATGACTGCACAGATGATGTTTTGAGGTGCACTTTCTTACATAAAGATATATTAAAACCACTTTTTATCAGCTTATCACAGCAAATGTAACCAAGCCACTCTCTGCCATTAAACACGAGAACAGCAGAAGCATCAGATGCATTTGAACACACAAGCATTATGATGCTCTAGACACCAGTCTGACCTTAATTTGTACAAACATTAAAAATGTAGCAGCAGACGCTTTTTAGCTTCTCTAATCACGTTAGGTCTGAAAGTAGAATTATTTTTATAAATAAAATGCACAGTATTGTTAATAGGTACAATAAATATACATATATATATATATATATACACACACATATACACATGTATATATATATATATATATATAT